AGGATGCACTGGAGAGGTTACACAGGAGCCCCTTATTTTGAAAAAATTAATCTTTTAATCTTGAAACCAAAGTGAAAGAGTGTGAAAATTAGTGCAAAGGAGGAATCACTGGGAGAAAAAAGGCATATACTGTAAGATCTTTATAAAGTTTCCACATCTATATTCCCAGCCCTATAAGATAAAATAATGACCAGAAAATGTTTGTTGAGCCTTTCAACTCTTGATTTCTGATATTTTAATGCAATAAAAATAAATGTTTTAGAAAGATATAAAACTTAATTATTACTGTCTCTTTTTTTATAAAATAGCATTAAATCTTAAATCCACATGGGAAAATGCAAAAACTATCCAAGTTGCAGTTGTAAATAATAGCTTAATATCTAGTATATTTTATTACCAAGTAAGTAAGTAAGAACTACCCTGAAAATAATCCTAGTTTTGGGGCGAGGTGCATGCCTAAAAATCAAGCTAGTGGGGGGGATGGAGCTACCCCACATGGTCCGCGCCCACTTACCAGGCCTCCCATGAATTTAAACCTGCCTCTCCTCTACTGCGATATCCCATGGGGTGCATTTCGCAGTCAGAGGCCTTTCTGGAAGGCCTCTGCAGCCGAGAACCGAGCTATGGATTCAATCCATAGCTCGGTTCTCAGCTGCATAGGCCTTCCAGAGAGGCCTCTAATTGCAAAATGCAGGCGGAGCTCCATTCTCAGCTGCAGAATGAAGCTGCTCTTTTGGCTGCAGAAGAAGTGGGCCGGGCTATTGGGGCCGCTGCTGCAAGGTGAGTAGAAAAAAACACCCCCTGAAAATAAGACCTGATACCTCTTTTGGAGGCAAAAAAAAAAAGTCCGGGTCTTATTTTCGGTGAAACACAGTACTATATTTATAAGTGTGCACACATAGAGAAATACAGGTAGTCCTTGAATTATGAGTGTAATGGAGCCTGTCCATTCCACTCATAACTCGAAAACTCATAGAGTAAATCTTGTATCTCAAACAAGATCACTTCCTTGCTCATTAAAACGCATGCGGCTCATTAAGCGAATATGAGGTATCTCAGGGTGGGGAAGGCCATGGAGGGCCTAGTGATGGAACAGACCCCCAAATCCTCCCCGACCCACTAAGATATCGCCTGCTTACCCCGCCTTCCTGCCGTGTCGGACTCACCTGGAAAAGATCCATCTCCTCTCTGCCGCATTTCCTGCAGCTGCCTGGATCTGAGACCGGGGGAGACTTGCACACATCCCCTCGCAGCCCAATCCAGGCTCTGGAGGTCTTTTCCAGGCCACTGCCACCCAGATTTGAGGCCAGGAAATGCTTTCATACCCCCTGCGGCCCGATCCGGGCTCCAGAAGCTTTTGGCAGGTTGCTGCTGCCCGGATTTGAGGCCAGGGAATGCTTTGGGGTGCGGAAGCATTCCCCGGTCTCAAATATGGGCGGTAGCAGCCTGGAAAACACCTCCGGAGCGTTGATTGGGCCACGGGGGGCACAGAAGCATTCCCTGGCCTTATATACTGGTGGCAGCGGCCTGGAAAAGGCCTCCGGAGCCCGTATCAGGCAATGGGGAGCACAGAAGTGTGTATCAGGTCTGGGTCACAGTGGCCTGGAAAAGACCTCTAGAGCCTGAATTCGGCTGCAGGGGGGACACGGAAGCATTCCCCGGTCTCAAATCCAGGCGGCAGCAGCCTGAAAAAGGCCTCCGGAACCCAGATTGGGCTGCAGAGGGTGTGGAAGCATTCCCCGGCCTCAGATCTGGGCCACAGCAGCCTGGAAAACACCTCCAGAGCCCCGATCCAACCTCCAGAGGCATGTGAAAGCATCCCCCAGCTTTGCTTCCATTCTCTGTTGCAGAAAATAGAGGCCTAAAGTACCATGAGATCACATGAGAACAGTAGTGTGCGATCTCGCCCCACTGATCTCACGTAATCTTGTGTTACTTTAGGTCTCCATTCTCTGCAAATGCACCAAAGGCCTGGAGCAGTCAAGAAAGCGAAGGATCTTGATCTTTGCAGGGTGAGTATTGAAGGCCTGGTGCCTAGGGAGACCTGGGCGGGGGTGGGGAGGAGGAAATAACCAGGGTGAATGTTGCAGAGTGACTGCGGTTGCTCATAAGGGCGAACGACTGCCGTGGTGCTGCAATATTTGTAACTTCAGGACTTGCTTGTAAGCACTAGGGGGCACTCACCATGTAACTTTGAACGAGCGTTAAGTGAACACTCGTAACTCGGGGATTACCTGTATAATGTAAGATATTGGAATAACAACATCTTACTAAAATATGGATAAAAAAATTGTTTCTTTGAGTTTTAATTTCTTTTAATTTTCTTATATAATTCAATATGCTTTAAAATGTGATTACCAATACTAAACCTCCCCTCTCCCCCAGCTTAACTAACTTCCTTGCCAGGTAAAATAAACAAGTTTTAAATGCTTTCTGAAAACAGCTTTCGGACTAACATAATTTTGGGTAATGTGATATTTGAGAAGACAAATGCTGTGATAGAAAAGGCGTATTTCCTGCATCCCACAAGATGGTTCTCTCTAGTCAATGAGACTCAATGTCATTCCTGCTGATCAAGATTGAACAAGTAGAGGCAAGTTCCTCCAGTAATCTGAACCCATGTCATGAAGGGCTTTCTAAATAAGAATTTCTGGAATTCCATCCAGAAATCAAAGTCCACTGCAACTCTTGAAGCAAAGATATAACATAGATTATTTTCACATTTGGATTATTCCACAATGTCAGTTTCTCATATGATTTGGAATGAAAATATCATTGCTTATACTACTAATAATCAAATGTGGCTGACAATTTTCAGGACTGGAAATCAAAATCTCTGTGTACTATACCTGAATGGAGTCTAGGACATTTAGACACCAACCTTTGGCCATGTCCGCTTTGCTCCCAGCCACCCACCTCAGCCAATTTACAGCCAGCTTTCCTCCTCCCTGGCCATCCCCTGACCATCCTCCATGGCCAATGGGTCCCTGGCCCTTCATCCCTCACCCTTTGTCCCTTCCCATTCTCCCAGACTCTGTTTGATCCAGGTCTTTGGCTGCACAGGACAAATAGGCCCCAGCCAATTGGAGGGGCAGACAGAAGCGGGGCAGCATGCAGTTGGTGATGGGCAGGGTGATCGCAGGGGCTGTGGGATGGGCAGCAAGCAATGCAAGATCTTTTTTTTAAGTGCTGTGACTGTTCCGCAAGTTTTTTTTAAAGGGGCTGCACTTTCCAAACAATTGGGTGGCTCCAGAGCTGTGGTTCTGACAGGTCATGCAGAGGGGGACAGGGCCCAAGTTATAAAAAGAGGATGTCAAAGGGGGGAGACAAGCAAGAGCATGTTGGGGGGTGACCAGGAAGTGACGGAGGGGCATCTCTAGGAGGCTTTGCAGAGTCCAACTCAGTTTGGCCAAACATTCAAGGAACTTTAGCCTGCCATAAAGATACTCTCATTAACTTATCTATGTCTATAAAGTATCTACAGTAAAAGGAATTGACATTGGAATCCCTCTTAAAATTTATATTACATCTAGATGTAATGTTTATTTTGATAATATTAATCTTAGTGGGAAGTTTAACTAGTCATATGAATCAGTAACAGGAATTAACACTGAAATCCCTCTTAAATTTTATATTACATCTTGATGTAATTTTATTTTGATAACATTAAGCTTAGTGGAAGGTTAAACCAACCAGTTATATCTACTGAAATAGACATATTTAATTCAACACTATTATATATTTTGAGTTACAATTCACCCAAGTATTTTAGTAAGTTTTTACAAATTTTAAATTGTAATCTCTTTTGGCATTCTATAGATAGAGTAACAAAGTAGACTTCTTCCAATTAATGGGATAACCAATATATAAGCCATTTTATTTATTACTTCAGTAAGCTTTGATAATGACATTGTATAGATAATAAAGAGAGCCACAATATCATCAGTGTTGAATGCACCATATCTTTAATATTTTGAGACTGAGTAATGAAAGAAGCCATTGATTCAAGAATCAATTTTCACTAAGGAAGTAAGGGACATCCTTATTAGTTCAATGAACAAAAGATGGTGGAACCCCATTCCTTGACATTTAATAGTCAGTCTGAGCCATAGCAAAGTCCTTTTCAGCATCAGTCTCAATTTAAATTCATAAAAAATAGGCATCTAACAATATCCATCTGATGATTGGTATTCTCTATATTGCCACAGATAAAATGGAATCCATTGTTATAATTGACTATCCAAATTGCAGATTTCCAGACCTTCATATTCTAGAGTACATTATAGATCAATAATTTAGCCATAGATAACATCTCAGTACATGATCAAAATTCAAATATTTACATCTACAATACTTGCCTCCACTAAACCATGGAGGTTTTCAGCATTCACATTCAACTTAAATTGGAAAATATGAAGGGATCAAGAAAAATATATTTCTCCTTTTGTAATCTTCCTCTGATTGTATGAATTTCAAAGATTTTACTAGATGGATTGATTTAGGGCAACATTTGTGGTCATTATTAAATCAAAATAGAGTAAAATGATGCTAAAGGATTATATATATTTAGTATATTTCAATTTTTTTAATATTTGAGGGTGTCTGAACAGAACAATGCCTATCATTCTGTAAAACTGTTGACTCTTTCATGTGACATAAAAAGGTATTGCACCTGAGTCTTTATTTTAATTTCAAACTGTGGCTGATAATTTCAAACTGTGTTTAGGTAAAAGTTTGTAAAAATAATTCCTAATAAGCATTAGGAGTGATCTAAGCATACAAAGATTAGGGGAAAGGGGGCACCCTGACCGCTAGACAGAATGAAACACGCTTCTTAGAGAGGGACCAATGAGGTAGAGAGGATTTTGTGCCATACTTCCTTTCTAACTTCAGAAATGCTACTCCACTGCCTTTTACATATTAGGCAATTGAAATTCAGAAAAATAGACGAGTTTTTTTCTTCATTTATCTTTACTAATTTCTTTCATGTTTCATTTCAGATAAAAACATCTGTTATTTGGGCTACTCCAAATGTTTCCTTTATAATCCCATTGTGGGTTATAATATTGGCAATACTTCTTGGACTACTGGTTCTGGCTATGTTGACCTTAGCTTTATGGAAGGTATGTTATATACTGGACCTAAAATAGAGAGGATGTTAACAGAACAAAATTGGAATTGGAGGGAGGAGAGAAAAGAATCTGGTCTTTTCATCAAAGCAGTTATAGATATATGAGACTGGTGTGTCATTTCTAATGGAGAGCAGACATGTTTGTGTTGCTAATCTTCAAAAAAAAAGCTTGTTTTCAAAGTCATACATTATTAAAGGCTAGGTATAAGTCAGATTGTAAGATCAGCTGCGATTCCCAAGACCTTTATATTTTGTCCAGCAAGTCAAGGTTTCTGCAGAATATGACAATGAAGCATCACTTTAATTGTCAAGAGCTTATCTTTTATAACATGTTTCAGGAAAACAAATATTGTTTTGTAAAACTGCATGTGATCTTATGTTAAAATTGGTAGAGTCTGTTTAATTTTTTACTACATCATTAAAGACTTGCAGTCATATCATATATGCAACCTATATACAATACATGATTGTATTCATGCTTGTCTTAAGAAATTAAACTTTTCTCAAAAGATTTTATTTTAACAAAGAAAATAAAGTGTTTCAGAGGGTCATGAATTTAGTTTAAAACTTGATTTTAATGATCTTTTGTATTAAATTCAAGTTTGATTTTTGTGCTGGATTATTCTAAATGTAATGTTATGCAGTTTCCTTAGACAGTAATCAAAAACTTCTGAGTAATATTCTGTCAAGAAGACATGATGGGTGAGATTTATCCTGTGCAGTGAGATACAGGTTATTCATGCCTGGCATTAGGTGCTGCTTCTGACATGCAAAGTAGAGAAATATTTTTTTAAAAAAAATGCATTCCATTCCATTCACCTGTCCTAGACTGAGTTGCTCAGAGCTATTCATCTAGGCAGATAATCCATTACTTAGACTGGCTCTTGCTCAGCATTAGGCTTTTATATGTCCCCTTGCTTATATTGTTGGAAAACAGATCAGTCACAGTACAACTTGATATGAAATAGCAATTCACCAACAATACACAGTAAAGACTCACCAGTTTTTTGATCTGCCTGTTAGAATGATTCATGGTCACAGTTATTTTTGATATTGAATACTTGGTTTTCACCATTATATCCTTTATAAAGCAATATATTCTCATAATCATTTCACATTGAGAGAATGAAAAATTGTAGAGAGCCTAACTCCCCAGTCTTAAATAATTGTACCAAAGTATCCTGTGTAGGTCTCATTCTGCAAAACTAACATCATTTCCAATTACTATAAGTGTCTGGATGTAGCTGCTAAAAAGGATATCCACAAGATTGAGATATAAATCCGGTTAATCTTATATTTTTATCATCTCTCTGTCATCAACTCAAGGCAATGAACATGCTTAATACTTCTGCCTCCTATTTTGTCTATAAAAACTTTGTGAGGTGGGTTGATTGAGAGGCCATGATTGGCCTAAAGTCCCCCAGCCAGCTTTTATGCCTAAGGGAGGCCTCTTCTTTCTAGGCCAGCATTATAACCATTATATCAAACCATCTTTCTTCCACAACACCAAACTTGTTCCAAGGTGACCCTTGTTATTTTAAATTCAATCATAGTCCATTTCTGAGATGTGCAACAGATTCTCAGTCAGGTCTACTCAAAAGTAAACACTGCTACATTCAGTTAATTTATTCCCTGATTTATTCTCAGATAAATTGAATGCTCTTGGGAATACATGATGTTATTGGAAAGTTTGTTTGTTTGTTTGTTTAATTCCTGTAGTTCTCCATCTCAGTCAATGACTCTGGGCAGCTTACAGTTCAAAAAATATATTACAGTTAAAACACCAAAATATTTTAAAACAATACAAAACAATAAAAACATTCAAAATAAATATACATAGCAGCCAAGATACTTGGCCACGTAGCAGTAAAACCAGGAAATGGGGACCTTGACATATTCAGCACCCCAGGATCAGGAACAGAATCAGATTTTTAGGGCCTTATGAAAGGCTAACAAGTTCTTATTGCTGTAGTGATAGGATTTCCACACAATAGGATTTTGTTATTGCTGTTTTATGTAGCCTTTCTATCAGTTACATAGCATTTGAATTAGTTTTCTACATGCAAAAAGCAGTTCTGACTTTAAGCTGGTTTGATATATTATCTTACTATTTTGGAAAAAAATATAATGTATCAAAATGGCTTAATTTCAAAAGTGCAGATGTTTTGAGTAGCAACTCCCTTTCCAATTATTATAAGAATTACAATATATCCAGAGATGCTCAGATTTGCATAGGCATATTTAGTCAGGTCCTAATGGTAGTCTGAAATTTGGAAAGATGATGTTATAGTAAGGATGGTTGGTTTTCCAATTTACTTATATTGTATTGTTTTGTTCCAGTGTGGGTTTTTTGACAGAGCCAGGCCTCCTAGAGATGACATGGCTGAAAAAGTGCATCTAACAAATGACAAGACTACTGATACATAGAAAATGAGTGTCCAGATCAAGAGTTGGGTTCATATTACCAGGAACCTTAATTTGGATCAAGATTGCCAAATAGCTGTAATTGGACCTATGCAAATATTCTTCATATTCAGAACATAGATGACAGAAAACACTACTGCCTCAGAATTGATGAGCAACCTTCCATCCAAAAAGAGCTAATGAAAAAGAATTCTTTCAGTTTTTCAGAACTGATTCTTAGTGAAATTACTGGGTACATTAAAAGCAGTCATAAATCCAAATGGAGCAGAGATGGAAAGCCAACAACATTTGGCACAGTGTTCAACTCTACTGTATATTGGCAAAATCTTGAGGCATCTCCCTAAGATTGGAACTTTTATAAACACTGACTCAGGGAGGCAAGCAATATTATGGGTAGTATTAAAGTACCTCCAGAAAGCAAAACTAGCCTTTCAAAATACTTCTTGAAAGTAAGACACACAAGTATTTATCTTCTACCTTTTGTAGACTGGGCATCTAACAAAAATAGGGTCTGAAATATTTTGGTTTCACTTGTCAATAGAATGAATATATCCTTTGCATTCCATATACTAATTATAAATGTTTGGAAAGAAGCAATATTTTATATTCCTTTGTAGGAGTAAATGTATTATAAAATTTATAAAATTTAAGAGGTTGAAAGTGAGCCTCAATACAAAAGCATGAAATAGAAATTTCCATTTATTTAATGACTCTACATGATGAACATAACAGATTAAAATTGTTTGCAATATCATGATTGTAAGGAAAAGTATGGTATTCTAGGGAGAAAACAGAAGCCAAAAAGGAGAAGTATTGGATCTCTATAGATTATCTGTACTGAATTCTAGTAATATAATCCAGTTCTTTCCAACAGGGGGCCCAAGTCATAGACTGTAAAGGCAAGCCAAGAGAAAAACCCAATTGGTAAATTTGATTTGATAAAAAGATTCCATGTAAACTAAATCAGATCAAGAAATAAAAATAATTCCCCAACCTTTTCCAAGAAAAGTTCTGTGGTTCAAAATTATACAGTTAACGTTTGCTTTGAATGGATGGATTATTCAGAAGAATTAAACATTTGGAGATGTATAGTTAAATAAATCATTCCTAAACTCACTAAGGGACATCTGGCTAGCAGATTAATTTTTGCAAAGGATCTTCATCAATTTTGTTCAAAACCTTTTTGAAACAACAAATGTGTTTCTCTGTTTTTGCTCCTGTGATTCCCTGTAGGTGCAGGTAATCAAGAATTGTATATCTTCCAACAGGAATATTTTTCTGCTCTTTGACAGTGACAATTCAGTGACATTAATTCTGATGCATATAAGAACAATTCCAGCAACTCTTAGAAGCTTGGGTGATCTCTCCCATTGAATCACTTCAGTACAGCAAGCAGATTCATGAACGTTCTTGTTTTTTATAGATTGTATTTTTTTAATTGGGCCAAATCCAAAAGTATCTCCAATCTATAGATTATGTAATGATAAGACTGAACTATTTTCCCTCAAAAAAAATCAAAATATATTTGTGGTTTGGAAATAGGTGCATTTATTTGCAGCTGCAGGTTTTGGCAAAATAATGTATATGTGCAAACAGTAAAAATTCTGCATTAAGTTTTACAGAAGTGTTTATATTTTCAGTATGTCTTTATCTTCTCTTTGCTTGGTTTATGGATGCTGTGTCTAACATCAGATGTCCTAGTTTCAATTGCTCCATTAATCCTACTGTTTGTTCTACAAAAACCAAAAACCTTTATGTCATTTCTGTTGTCATCGAAGTTGACACAGAGAAAAAAAAATAGCCCTCCAAAGCCCTATCCCTTTCTGCTGCTAGAATCCTTTGAACATTTTGTATATTTTCTGAAATGAGTTAAATGGCAGTGTAACTGTTGATCTATTCTTCAGAGAAGGCTCTGAAAAATATCAGTTTCCAGCAGTTAACTGAGTAGCTGGAAGAAAGTTGTCCTTGTCTTATTCTGGGACTTTTCTCTGAGTTTAGCCCACAGTCTTGGGATTCCTGGTGGTCCAAGTATTATCAAGTCTGACCTTGTTTGACTTTTCAAGATCAGCCAAGGTTAACTAGGTGTTATCACCTGTTTTCTAAAAATCCTATCCATTGGCTAAGCTGCTATTATTTTAGAGTAACAGAGGTTTTGTAGGAATCAAAGAACTTTTGCAGAGGAATATTTAAACAAGCTGTTTAAAATAAATAGAGGAAACCCGTAATCACTCAACTAAGGACAGGCAACCTCTGGCCCTTGGTCTAATTTCATCTGGCCTTTGATCTAATTTCAAAAGGCCTCTGCAAATGATGAGCTCAGACTTCTGTTAAGAATAAACTCTGTTCTCTGATATTCTGATGACTGGCAAGGAAGAGAAAAGTAAATGTCAGAAGGAATGAGGGAATAAAGGAGGTATTAGAAAGGAGAGAATGATAATCCATTCAGTTTTATTCTAATTTCACTGCCTTTCTTCAAATGCATTATATTAGTATTGTTCCCTGTTACAACACACACACAAACTTGTTTTGCATCTAAAGAAGCTGTATTATTCCCTATAGTTTTTGTCTTAACCTAAAATCTCTACTTGATCATAATTAAACTTATTGTGATCTTTATTTCATCAGACACTTATCAATTATGAACTGAGAAACAATAGTAAAGAACAGAGTACTATTGTGCTGTTTCCTCTGTATTCATATACCATGTAAAGGGATGACTGCTCTACCTGCAAAAGCAGTTTTGCCTCAGCTGATTAATATCCATCTATATAAACAAAACAATTAGTGTTGTTTTGGTAAAAATAGTAAATATTGATATATAATAATCCAGAACTGGCTGCACACATGTATATCAGTGGCCCATAATTCTCTTGGGTGAATGAGATAGAATATGTTTTTTAAAAATGTTCTTAAGTGCAATACTTTTGTATTATCTATGTATATTGTGCATGTTTACACTGGCATTTGTTTTTATTAAAAGAAGTTCAGATATATTGATTAAGAAATAAAATAACTGTTATCTTACCTCCATAGTTTGTTAACATTTATTTAAAAAAGAATCAACTTTCTATATGGTCCTCTGATCAAATAATTTCTATGAATAGCCACTAACACTAATCTACTGCTTATCAATGGCTATAAAAATTCAACTGTTTACTTCACCTACATGGACAGCCCTGAGATAGATGCACAAAGGCTAACTTATTCAATTCAGTAGGGGAATTGAACTTAGTGTTTCTCACAGATCTCCTCATCTGCTAAAATAAATAATACAAACATTGCTGGAGAACCACCATGCACCTGAAGAAGGACCAAGTACAATCAGGATCAAAGTCAACCTTTATTTTATTCAGTTTCATTGATTATTTTAGTGAAGAACAAAATAAAAATTGGGAAGGGAAATAATCACAATGAGCTTGACTCAAGCCAATTTTGGACAGTTATATGTTACCTCAGTACCACACAACTGAGAAATTCATAAGATAGCTTCTTTTGAGAAAGTTTTCATATTTCTAGACCTCAGTAATTTTACATACTTTTGCAAAAATGTTTGCAATTTTCAGGGACCATTGTTTTTCAAAACTTTCATTGATTATACATTTGAAATTTATAGCTTTATAGTTCTGCTATTTGTAGAGGTAAATATGCAACCAAGTTTTCATGTCTACCCTGATATTTGATAGAATAGAATAGAACAGAACAGAATAGACCTTGGAGGTTTTCTAATCCAACCCCCTGCTCGAACCTATACCATTTCAGATAAGTGACTGTCCAGTCTCTTCTTAAAAACCTCCAGTGATGGAGCGCCCACGATTTCTGGAGGCAGGCTGTTCCAATGGTTAATTGTCCTCACTGTTAGGAAATTTCTCCTTCATTCCAGGTTGCTTCTCTCTTTGGTCAGTTTCCAACCATTGTTTCTTGTTCTGCCCCCTGGTGCTTTGGAGAATAAGTTGATGCCCTCTTCTTTGTAGCAACCCCCGAGATTTTGGAATACTGCTATCCTGTCACCCCTGTTTCTTCTTTTCTTTAGACTAGCCAAACCCATGTCCTGCAGCCATTCTTCATATGTTTTAGTCTCCAGGTCTTTGATCATTTTAGTTACCTACTTGCCTGCACCAGCTATACTATTTTTCCTTTGTCTGAGTTGAACACCAACTATCCCAAGGAAAAAAGTAAAAATGTGAAGAGAGGTATTGATTTGTTCCTCTTGTATAAGTACAATCAAAGCAATATGAAGGCTATTGATGCATGTGGTAATACAGAAATATAAAATTAAACTGTTCTATGAGATCTTCCACAATCAGGATATAGCTAAAAAGTGATGATGATTAGGCCTTGAGGCTACCAAGAAAATTTTAAATTAACAGGGAATGCTATAAGAATCAAATTCCCATTCATTTTTTAAAAGGCAATACTTAAAAAAATATTTAAATTCTGTTATTTTAAAATATTTAATGCAAAGGGTCTGCTTTTTTTAAAAAAAGTCATGCCAGTTTATTAACCGAAACTGAAAGTTGTAAACTGAATTGTTGGCAACCATTTTTAGTCTAGTGAAAAAAGTATCTGAAAAAAGTATTGTTGTCTGAAATAACAGCGTGGTTTTGATGAGGATCAATAAAGTGGCAATATATGTTCAAGGTTTTTTAGCATCCTTATTTGTTACCAGTTTCTTCGAAGTCATGAAAGATTTTAGACCAAGAACAGCTGAAGGATTATATGCTTTTTTTTCTTCAGCAGCATTTCTATGTATTAAGATTATTATCTGATATCTTTCCCCAGATGAATCTGCCATCAGAAAAGAAGTGGAAGGTGACTGCTAAGATAGAGGTCTTGAGTAACAATATCATCACATTTATGTGATTATTGATCTAAGTGTCTGTGTTGCTATCTTCTTTTAAGCATTAATATCTAACCTTAGCTTGACTAAGTTGATCAAGTTGTACCCTTAGGGCAAAAGGGCACAGCATCTATTAGCTCAAGAGTCAGGCTTTGAACTACATTTCAAGGACCACAGTGTCCTGATTTTGGAGGAGAATACAGAATTTTTAACAAGTAAAATATAAAATATTTCTGTTCTTTTGATTGCTGTTGCCATATTATACCAGTATTTGAGGAACTACGTAAATGACCTTTCTTTGCAGTTAGAGATCAATGGAAAATCCT